ACGTGAATGTCCTGATTTTGTCTGGGATAGAGTTACAACAGTCAATTACTCCAGGCCCCCTTCACCTCCATGCACAACCTGCTCTTAGCTTGTAAGGAGACTAAAATTCCTTTCGATTTCAGTGGTTCCACTCCAAGCATGTTCCTGCAATTGAGTATCATTTCCCACTGGGATTATTCCCAGTGAGATAGAGGAAGGCTTAACTGATACCTGGAGGCTCTTTAAGGACACCATTAGGACAGCTTGCATGCACAGGGCTACTCAGTCTGTGTGACAGAGGAACACTCAGGGCAGAAGCAAAAAGCTGTTAGACATAAGATCACTCAATCCGAGATGAGCATTTACCGATCCTTGCAGAACACATCTTTCTTACTTCTATAAATAGATCTCCTCAATAAAACAATGAAGTAGCATGAAAGTTAAGTGGGGATGTAAAATTCCTTTAAGTTGAATGGTTTATTAGGAATACAAACCCCGGAAATCTACCTGAAATTAAACTTATAATATCGTTAGTGAGTCAGAGACAGAATGAAAAGAAAAAAAGCTCAATTTTAACACAGCACATATTGTGGTATTACCATAATTGAACAGGGCATTTCCTTTTTTTGTTTTTTATTCTGTTTTCAAACAAACAAAAGACATGTGGGGTCTGCTTATGGCACTAATACAAAGAGCACAATTTAAAGGATGGCCTTATCTCAGTAACTTATCAAGCAAACTAAATTTACACTGTTACTAAGGATGTAAAACTGCGAGGTGGGAAATTGGTAGCACGTGTAATTTTGTCACTGTCTAGTAAATGACCAAACCTTGAACCTTCTGGGAAACGAAGGAAAATCTCTTTTGTGCTAGCAGGCACACAGGTGGGCCACGAGGAGTTTCAGAATTAAAACGTTTTACTTCCTTTCGTATCAGAAGCAATGTGTGTGTACCCTTCCACATCACTGAAGTTCTTTCATTCACATTTCCAAAGTGATACTTCTTATGTATTAGTACTACCCAGTATCACTTTCTCTTGCATCATACAGTGTGCATTTAGAGTTTGACTGGTTCCTCAACTCAGAGAGCTGCATGGGGATCTCCTCGGTGGCTCAAGGATACAGAGCAGGACACATGGAGTCCAGTGAGTTAAGTCTGCATGTTACTGGTGAAAACCTTTGCACTTCAACTGTGCAAAGTCTGAACTCTTGAAACATAAAGATTCTGCCAGCAAGCTCACATGTATAACTTATCTTCAATTGTGTGGATACTTCTGTTGCCTGCATTTCTATTTCCAGCCTCAGCACAGTGCTATCTATCACAAAGCTCATTTTTACAAGCCCAGCACTTCACAGAACCCACTTTTTCTCTAACTGAACACAAGAAGTCTTGCTCAGGTTACATTTGCTAAAGCACAAGACAACTGGCCGTGATGTACTTTAATCTGGAACAAAGAGGGCTTTGCAAAAGACCCATTCATAAAGCAATTGTCAACAGACAGGAGGACTCTGTTATGTTCCCCCGCTCAAAAACCTAATCATAGGTTTAGGCTTGTGCAACCTGCCAAATTCATAGCTCAATGAGCAAAGAACCTCTATTATATATTTTGCAGTCAGCATTAACATTTTAGGAAAATGGGATGAAAAAGCTACTAAATTAAGATAAATTACATGCTTTTTACTTCCTGTTTTAAATTCTGGTTCAGGAACTGAATTCAGGATTCTTTACATGGGATGCATTTAAAAGTTTCTTCAGTCCAGCTGAAGCAGGATTTAGGACATGCAAACTGACCAGCCTGCACTGAAGTGCTGCTTTGAATTTGATAATTAATCACAGAGGGAAATGCACAAATTCTTTTGTGATACTTAATACTGGAGGGAGGGTGAATTTACTTAATCTATTTCATCCTCTTGAAAATTGAATGGCATTTTTTCAGGCCTGAGTGACAAGTAGGTAAGAGCCAGAAGACAGCAACAATACACTTTGGGTGAGGAGTTCTCTTTCATTCCATGTTCAGTTTATTCCTGTGTCTGTCACATTTCTAAATTCATTTACGAAGTAAAAATACTTATGCTAAAACAAGCTAGATACATACAAAGAGTACTTTTCTTTCTCCTTTTAATGCAACCTTCTGGAGAAAGCCCAAGTAAATGGGTAAGCCCTATCGCATGCACTGGGGAGGGTGGAAATCCAACAGCATTTCAGTGCCCTGAACAGACTCCCTGGGAGTATTGATTCTGCCTGTATCTTCAAAAAGAGACATGCAAGCAAAGACTCCCCTGGGCCAGCTGTATCTGCATTGAAGAAAATGAACAAAACCAAAGCCCAGACACACTGTACACCCCCTCAGCTGTGATCCCAGCAAAGGAGGGCATGCAGGACAGCTGTACCACATCTCCCTCCCAGCCTGGAGAGGGAAGCGCTGCTCAGGGCAGCTCCCCAAAGCATTGTGTACTGCAGACATCCACTGAGCAACTGCTCACAGCTTCTTCCTAAAGACTTCTGCATGCTGGGGAGTAAATGCAACACCATTGCCTTACTGAGGGCTGACAAGCCATGTACCTGCAAAAGAAAATGCCACTCCATTTCCTTTCCAAGCTATTTCTTCTAGTGCTCATTTTTTCACCTGTTTCACCATCCTATTAGAAATGCAGACTTGATGAACACCAACTGAGAAAGGTGGGCAGGGGTGAGGTGTTTGCACTGTACAACAACACAAAGTCACCTTGCCTATCCTGGCTCAGGTACTTTTGTCCTTGGAGGAAAGTAGAGCCCATAATGTTCCTGAGCCCATTCCCCACCCAGTAACTCCAGGAAGAGGTAGGTGTATGGCTGTCGAGTACTCTGTCCAGTTCTGGACTCCCCAGTTCAAGAAAGATGAAGAGCTGCTGGAGGGAGTCCAGCTGAGGGCTACGAGGATGGTGAGGGGACTGGAACATCTCTCCTATGAGTAAAGACTGAGGGAGCTGGGCTTGTTCAGCCTGAAGAAGAGAAGGCTGAGAGGGGACCTAATATATACTTACAAATATCTGAAGGGTGGGTGTCAGGAGGATGGGGCCAAGCTCTTTTCAGTAGTGCCCAGCGACAGGACAAGGGGCAATGGGCACAAATTGAAGCAGAGGAAGTTCTGTCTGAACACGAACTTCTTCCCTCTGAGGGTGATGGAGCACTGGAATAGGCTGTCCAGGGAGGTTGTGGAGTCTCCTTCTCTGGAGATATTCAAGACCCACCTGGACGTGGTCCTGTGCAGCCTGCTGTAGGTGACCCTGCTTCGGCAGGGCGGTTGGACTAGATGACCCACAGAGGTCCCTTCCAACCCCTACTATTCTGTGTGATTCTGTGTGATTCTGTCTTTACATCTGTTTGGTGAGGCCCCAGATTTACTTACTAGTCTGCTTACTCAGTGAACCATGCATGAAGTACTCATTGACTTGCTTTATTCCCTGGACTCATAGTCCAAACCACAACTTAGCCCTCATGGCGCTTGTGCAGATCGCCGCGTTCAGCACTAGCCAAAATCTCTAAGGATACATCTGCAGCATGTAAGGCAGCACAGGCAAAAATCTGCAAGTTAGCTTCAGAAATGGAAGCAGAACAGTCTTACTGCCCAGGCTGTGCAATGTGCTGCTTAACGCTGCTGATAGATTTGTACAGCTCTGTTAGGGGGAGATACCTGCTGCTCCCGCTCTGTACAGTGCAACACAGGATGCAGATTCTGCGCTGACTCTGAACTGGCCGTGCAAATCATCCTGCACACGAAGTTGCTTGCATGTGACTGCTTATGCACTCAACTCAGCAGCTTTCATTCCTATACCAAACAGGCAGCACAGAAAGTTAAAACAATAATTAAAAAAAAAAAACCTCTTAAATGAATTTATTAAACCCACTCCAGTTTCGCTGTGGATTGTACTATGTATTACCTAAAGGAACCGTAGCAGGCCCGTGGCACATGAAAATTTGCTTCTAACAGATATTCTTGTTATAGTCATGAGGAGAGAAGGTATATTTCCCCTGGATTTTTGGCTTTTCTCCAAAGCCTTTTTCTATGGCAAGCTTCTTCAAAAGTGTCTCCTGCAGCCCAGACATCCAGCATCGCATTCCACTTCTAAAGCAGGCAAAACCGAAGTTCAAACACTTTAAACCTGCTTTTCCATGCAGTACAGCGCTGAAAGTGAAAACCACTTTACAAAAAAAAGTTAAATGTTAAATCCTTGTAAGACTGCATTTTATTCAGGCAAAAAAGGCAATACAGCAGAGGGAGTGGTCATACAATTCTTCTGACCCTGCCCCAAATGTCCGTTTTATAAAGCACATTGAAAGAATTCCCCCAAAAGTGTTTTCCTTCACATAATTCCTGATGTTACAGTCATCTTGCTGTCATTTTTCCTTTTCTTCCTTATTTTACTGCTGCTTTATTTATCATTTTTTATCAAAGTGATACAAAAGTGGCTTCTTTTCTGTCTACTCCCCACTTACTGTAACTTCAAACTTGCTAGCTCAATACTAGCAGCAATCCAACTGTGGCAAAGTATAATATAGGCTCTAAAGCCTGCACAAGAGCAGTAAATATCTCGCTGTTCGCCTGCCTTCAATTCTGTGCTGCTTCCCTTCAACCACTACCAGAGCCTGTGTGAGTTTAACTGCAGCTACTGCAGTGGAGACATGTCATTTGTACTGGCTAGGTTTTCCTTCCAGAGTCTTTGCTAATGCTATTTTCTGCTTTGTTTACACAGCACTTCTATAGTACCATTTGTCTGTGTTACCATTGCTATTGGCATATTGATACATCCACAGCAGCAATGCTTCCGATTGGAAGTGGTGCTATTCTGAAAAATGACTACTTATTTTGGTCACTGACCAACCGCAGTGGAAGACTTCTATTTCCCAGTAATCATTTATTATATTCAGGCATGCAGGCCAGGTAAATTAATTTGAGTATCCTCTTAAAAATCCTAAATGAAAATTGGAGGAACACTATTATTCATTAAGATACAGTTAAGATCATGAGCCGCATTGCTTACCTATGGATATGGTCCAAACTGCAGCAATTTTCATAATAGCCTTGGTGCGGGAATTGAAGCGGCTGTGCTCAATGGGATTGCGTATTGCTACATACCGATCAAGAGAGATGGCACAGAGATGCATAATAGATGCAGTTGAAAAGAGCACATCTAGGGAAATCCATATAGGGCACAACTGTTTAGGCAAAGGCCAAGCATAATCTGAAACATAGAGAGAAAAGAAATGAAAGGAAAAAAGAAAAAGAAATAATTTGGGAAGCTAGGCCATCATTTCTGAGAAACCGTTGGGATATTTTAACACTACGATACCAGTAAGGGGCACATGCATGAGGAGTGAACAAAAAAACCTTTCACGGGGCCTCTCTCCGGGCAGTCCCTGGCTCTGGACACTCTATAAACCTGTAGCCAATTCCCACATATCTGTCTTCCATGACCAGTAGCTGAAGGCAAAGGAACATTAATTTGGCAGCTTCTCCAAGGGCTGATTCTAGCTCTGTTCCTTTCTCTTCACCTGTCCCTCGTATCTTTACAAAATCAAATATTACATTCATTTATAATTGCTTCTCACATTCTTTTCATGGATTACATAGTGCTATGTGGCATTATCTTCACTCAGATCCTTACTAAAGTTCTCTTGATATGTACTTCTCAGTTTGTGTCTTCTGAGGAGGAAGGTAGCAGACAGTTTTTCCACACAGTCTAACAACTAGCTAATTGGCACTGCTTCATCTTAAATATTCTCCCCAGGTAGTGTGCCTTAATAACAGAGGAATACTTTCCTCCTTACAGAGCATCTAGGATTGAGTGGCTGAAATCTGAAAACTGTTTTGAAGGTAGACAGAGCTGAGCATTATTCTTTAGAAAAACAAGCATGCCAGCAAACTGAACAGACTAGATAGCTACATCAGCTACAGCAGCTGACATGAAGCTAATTTGGGTACCTGCATTCATTAATCAGTTTACTCAGTGCTGAAGTACAGCTTGAGAAAAAAAGTGACCCAAAAGATCCTCAGGGGGCACTGGTATTTAAATTAAAGCTCAGAGAAAATTGATTTGTGAATGATACTCCAGTGTTATTGCCCAGAATGGATTGCATGAGATCAATAAGAAGTCCTGCCAAGCTCTGGGCTTCTAACACACTTTTCAAAACAAATCAACAGTATCTACAGCAGCTGAAAACATAAGAGACTTGTAATAGTTGAATAATGAGATATTCTTGTGCCTTCATTCAGAACATGGATATCTAAAGCAACCTTGAAGTTTACCCCAAGGATCAGAAACATCACTCTGTAGAATCAATTTTATATTAAGAACAATGCAGCTCCATCCTACTGATCTCAAATGGAAAGGGAGAAATGTTAGTCTCAGAAAGCATATTTTGAAATAAATTACCCAGCCAAAGGAAACCCAGGATACCTTACATGCAGAAACCTGAGATGAACCGAGCCACAGCAAATTATTACAAATTGTCCCAGTGAAGCCCAGGAAACCTCCACAAAGAGCACAGCAGAACAAGGTGGACACATTAGCTCATTTTACCAGTGGAAAACCCACAGAAGAAGTGCCAAGTAACTCACAAAACCCACACAACCATACCTCAACTCTGGGGAGATAAATAATTTATTTTGTCAAGTTTGCACCACCCCTACTACATGGACTGTAAGTGGACTGAAATCCAAAGCAGCAAGCATTTAAGAGGTCCTTATCAAAGGGAATGAAGTAAAGCGCTTTGTGGCTGGAGCATCTTTAGTTTAAAAGGCACCTCTACTGTACAAATGAGTTTAACTTAGTTAAATTGTGACTCAGGTCCTTTCATAGATTCATAGAATCAGACCCTTTACAAAGTTATGATCAAATTCCGCACCTCCTGCTCTCGCTCTCACTTTGCAATAGCTTAGGACATTGTCACCATCAACCTGCAATTGAGCTCAGAGCTCCACCTAAGCACACCTCTGATTTGCTGGGTCTTTAATGATGCCTCCAGTGAATGCTCCAGGGAAGCAACTACCTCTGAGTTGCTGGAGCCAGCTTTCTGATACAGGCTGAAATGAGCCCTAAGCAGAAGACCTGGAAAAAAGCACCAGGGAGTGTTCCCTGATGGATGAAGCGGTTCCTGTGAACATGCATGAGGCTATCTTAACCGTGCGGCAGCCTTGGCACGGGGGCACAGTGATGGTGATGGCTGCTCCCCCTCATCAGGCAGAGGGCCAGGAAATCTCCAGCATCTCCAAAAAGGGAGGCCAGGCCTCCAGGCTCCCTGTGCATGGGAGCACCTCCAATCTGATCTATGGCGCTGCAGTGGGTACAATCTGATTCTTGACATCTGCTAGACCTGGAAGAGGTTTCTACAGCAACCACCTTTTTAGCATTACTGAATGATGAATAGTCCCTCTTATGTCTTCCTTTGAGCTACCCGAACACTTCCCATGCCTGATTCCCCCTGGAGCTTCTGCTATTGACGTGAACTAGGTAACAGCATTACAACCAAAAAATTAGCAGAAGCAAAAATGACAGTAAGCATTCATGCCCACAGTGTGAGGTTAGTAGGTGTTGCCTGCTGTCAGCCCTGGCTCCGCAAAAATCACAGTCACCAAGAGATCAAAGTAATGCTGCCCAGAATTACTGCCCAGGCAAACCGTTGGGAAGTCTTCAAAGACAAAGGTGATATGAGAGCTCTCCTAATGGCTAACCCCTTTAGCCTTTACTGTCCCAAGGCACTCAGTTATGCTTCTAGCTGAAATGGCAGTTATGTGAGGAGACATTTTACTTTCTCAGGAAGCTTTCTAAAATCTTGTGCAATAATAAAATGTCAGTCTGCAAATTTGTAGAATGGCAGCTTGTAACACATGCCTATACCTTGATAGGAAAGGCTTAATATATATCCTATCTCATATGCAATTACTTTTAAGCAAGCATGGTGTGTGCATTTGAAAAACACCTACACAGCCTACAAAGCCAGTAATTTGTACAAAATGAAAAAAAGTTTAATCTAATTCTGTTTCAAGTAAATGTACAAAACATAGGAAATGTGCCCTGTGACTGTGCCAAGAAGCAAACAAGGATTAAAAAAACAATTCTGTTAACAAAGTTATACCTTTAAAACAATCTTATCCTCAGAAATACTCTATCTGCAGAAGGTAACATTTCTCTAATTTGTTCTATTTTCTCTCATTTCATACACAAAGAATAGCAATTGCCATATATTTAGAAGTGCAGATGACTAAGTGAAATGAATTCTTGGACTTCAGCACCTCTAAGCTTTAGTAATTGCATTTCCAACGGAAAGTATGTATCTCAGCCCAAATTTGGCTCCAGAAAGAATAAAGACCACTAACCACCTGGGTAAGCAAAAAACAAATTCTTTCTAAGAAACTCTTATTTTTGTACCTTGAATTAATCTGTGCCCTTAAAATCAGTCATATATTTAATGCCTGGCTGGTAGACCAGATACAGGAGTGCTGAAGGGAACTAGATGAATCCAGCAGGTCAGAATGGAAGGCGGAATTTCTTTACCCAGCGTGTAGTTAAACTGCAGATTTTTTTGCCTCAAGACATTTTATGGGTGCTAGAAGTTTACACTGGACAAATTCCTAGAGAAAAGAATACAGAAAACTATTGCAATTATACTACTTTTAGATCAGGGTTGGCTTCTGGCTCCAATCAGGATGAAAACTCTGTGTATGAAGTCCTGGAAGGAAACTTCTGCAGAACGCCTGTGTATATCACTTCAGCCTCCAACGTTGAATAGCACCTCACAACACCTGAGATGCTGTTGTTCTTCATGGGAAACATGGGTCAAACACTCATACTTAACCAGGAGTCATGGTCCATTGGTGAGATTTCATCTCCTGCTCTGGGACGAAAAAGCAAACCACAGTTCCTGCATGTCAGTGAACAGCCGAGATGAGCACAAACTGCTGGCAGCAAAACACAAACTCAAAAGCATTTTGGCAAAGTTGCAGACCGTCTCTGTGTGTAGCTAATTTGCTGTCAGATGAAAGTTCCCTGAATTTTTTTGTGCTTTCCATCAAGAAAGATGGCAACAATGAAATTTAATCACTTTTGTGAGAAGTTTTATGCATATTGGTAATAAGTGTTGTATAACACTTATTATAAGGTCATTAACTTATTGTAAGGTCATTAACTTATTGTAAGGTCATTAACTTATTGTAAGGTCATTGTGTTCTTCACCGCATGAGAGTCAAAATTTCCAGCCACTGCAGCAGGAGGGGATTGAATAATCCAAAACACAGCAAATGGAAGCAAAATTAATCATGTCAAATGGTAAAACAGAATTACTCCAGATTGCAAGAGAAAGGCTGGACAGAAAAAAAAAAGAGAAAAAACGTTCGAACCTGTGGCTGAAAAGTAACTGTGGGGCTGCAGGATAGATGGCAGCTGATACAAAACTCCTTCCTTCTCCCCAAAGCTTTGAACAAAATCTCATGAGCTTTACCCAGCCTTATGTGCTAAACTGGAGTAGACAGGAGCCGTATACACATACCAACACACCTCACGCTGGCTCACTACAGTTACATTTTAAAAAATGACTATCGCTTGTACGTATTTACTACTTCTGTAGTGCAATCTACCCCTGGATACTCCTTGGAATATACAGTGTAACAGCTGGGATAAATCTGGAATAATAGTGACAAAATACCTGCTTACACCACAATAAAGCAAAATGCTATGTAAAACTCATCCCTGTAGATTCAGAATTTTTTCATGGCAAACTCACAGCAAGCCATAGCAATCATTTCTTTTCCAACCATGAACAGGAATTTGGAAAAGGCTTCAGAAAACATTTGTTGTGTTTAGCCAGTGCTTTATAACTATCAGAATGGAAAAAAGGATAAAAATCACCCTTCAAAATCACACAGGAAGAATAAGGGTGCATTTTATCTTTTAGGCTCATAATGACATCTATGTGCATGCACGCACACTTATATGTAATGTATGTATACATATGCGTATATATATATAGAAAAAAACAGAGCTAAGAGGTGCAGAACAAGAACTAGAGATGCTTATCTGTTCAAATACAGTCTCCTTTAACGTTGTTTATTGGCTTGGCCAAATGTAATTGTCCCCTTTTGGGGTTCTGATATTTACTGTATTTATGTTTCACTCTACTTACAGGCCTTGAACGAATTGAACTAAAAATGGTAGGACATCATTGTGTTTGAATGAATCTTAATCCC